GGATTAAATAGTGTGTTTTTCTGCTCTTATGTAATCTGCAATTACTATAGTGTGTTAACTAGTCTGCTAGCTTTTAGGGGTAATATTTTATGACTATTATTTTATTGTTTCCAAGACCAAGTAGCATTTTCATACATTATTTTGTGGGGTACCACTGTGTAAAAGCTGATCCTCAATGCTTTTACAGTAGCAACACTGTCCTGCTTTTTGTTGGATTTGTTGGGAAAAATGACTTTACAGCAAACCTAGTGCCGTTTCCCAGATGTGTTATCATCCTAAAAGCTTGTTCTCATGTAATATTAAAACTGAAATGTTAAAAAATGAACAGTAAACCATAAATCTTTTCCAGAATAAAAAAACTAGACTTCTAAAGCAATATTTACAGCATGTAGCCACCAAATGTAAATTTATGGGGCCAGCAACACTTGTCATTTCAGCTGTAAAGATTGATGGTTGTCAGCTAAAAATAAGAAGCCTGCCTGTGTCTGCCTCTCTCTAAAATCAAAGACAAAATGTTTAAAAATTGACTAAGAATTCTCTGTTGCAAATTTGATACAGTTATTATTGTAATCCACATTTGTCCCAAGTCTCTGGTAGGCTAGTGGTTCAGGCGCAGCGCTCTCACCGCTGCGCCCCGGGTTTGAATCAGGGTTATGTCAGAAAGGACATCTGGCGTAAAACACGTGCCAAATGTCAACATGCGAGTTGTCAGTGTGATGATTCGCTGTGGCGACCCCTAAACGGGAAAAGCCGAAAGTGACTTTCTTTCACATTTGTCCCAAGTAAGAATGAAACGCTCGACAGACATAGGAACAGTTAGTAAGGTGGGCAGGGTTTTGCTTGATAAAACCCTTCCAAATCAGATCTTAACAGAAATGTTTCTAAGTGTTTGTCCACATTTGGAAGAAAATTCAGTTCAGTACAGTATATTTCTTTATGATTGAAAACTTTTTTGTAAAGTAAACCTTGTGTGCCTGGTTGCTTTGTGGTATTGTCCAGCGAGCAACAGACAAACTTAGTCTCCTAAGTTCATGAACAATCAGATCCTTCCCACTGGTTAGGCACAAAAGGACTCACATGATAGCAGTTTCCAGGGTCTTGGGAAAGTAGGAGGAAAACCAGAGATCTCCGTGAGGGGATGACAATAATTGTCTCATTTAGAAATTGATGCCCACAGGTAAGAGTAATTATGGAGGCCCTGTCTGTGGCTGTGTGTTTGTATGCTGCAGAGGCCAGTATTTCAGGCGGGTTCCAGCAGTAGATTACAAAGGTGCGGCTGCCGCGCGACATCCAAATGTGACACATAAAAGACAAAAGTGTGGATCAACAGAGGGTGTCTCAGCCCCATCCTGCTACTTTGCCGTCAATCTGGCAGATGGCATGGGCCCTGGCAATGAGAAGTGCAGTGGCTTCAAAGGCCCTCTGTAATCTGCAGAAACATCACAGGCTCAGAGAAAGTGACTGTCTCCCAGACACCCACCCTACTAAGAGGGCGAGCGAGGCGCTAATGAAAGGCAGATAAAGGGATCGCAGGCAC